AAATAAGACCAAAATTTAAGTTAAGCGAATAATTTTGTTAATGAACCTGAATGTAATTATCCTCCAGGAGTGATAGAATAGAGTATTTATCTTTTGGGAATTTCGTGTTTAAACTCTCTTCTTTGTTAAAGTGATGCTACTCTGATCGAATTGTGATATTTTTACTTTTCCCGACGTTTAGCCTTTTAATTTTAAATTTTTTGGTAAATGGCAGATAAAAATATCGGATGTATCCTAACTTAACTTTTTCGAATACTTCATTTGATATTTTTACGCCTAGTTGATGCCTTGCGCTATTAACTTCCAATTGTATTGAATCTACTGAAGATTGTTGAATATAATTTCTTCGTTTTTTTGCCCAGGTAAATACTTGATCTGCCAATCGTTAGATAATCAGCTAGTCGTCTTCAACGTCTTCGCTGGATTTAAACGCGTTCGCAAAAAGCTTTTTAGAGGACAGATGGTCTCTGGCTACGCGTGCCAGCCAGATATGTCGCCAGATATGCGATATGTGATTTCTGGAGATGGTGATGGAAATTTGGTACTCTGGGATTGGAAGACAACACGTCTGTTAACAAAATGGAAGGCTCATGACGGTGTGTGCATTAACGCCGCTTGGTTACCACGCGAGACTTCCAAAATCGTCACTTGTGGTTGGGACGGGCACATAAAGTTGTGGGATTAAACTTTGAGCAGGCTCTACGCTGAGTTAAATTATTACTTCACACACTTTATGTATATATATTTGTAAAACGTATTCCAGAAATATTTGTACATATCTTTTTAAATCTGCTCTTGCTTACACATTTGTCTTATTATATGACCTCGCAATCTGATTGGCTTCTGGATTTACTTCTATTTCTAAGCCGTTTAATCATCTTAGGTCGCATAAGGGAATGTAATTATATTTCCCTCTAGTGAAATGAATGGAAATTACGATATCATTCGATTTCACATAGCCTTGCTTACCAAAAGGCTTTCTCTTGCAAGTAGGAATAGAGTTTCGACATCATCTATATTTCATCAGGCCCCCTAACCGATATAAAGCCGAATCCTTTGCAACAAATTTCAAAACTTCTTCACGGCCAAGAGCGCAAGTTGCTCTAGGGTACACTAGGAGCTTCAATGACTGCCACGCCTCTCCCAATTTACATTAATAGAAGGCCTTTGTATATAAAGATAACTTGTATGTTGTCATTACAACCGACTGTTACTACATAGGTAATGAGTATACTTGGAAGCCTCTTTAATATTTACTTTAAGATGGGTGATGATCAAAATTGTATTTGTCATTTCAATATAATACGTTATCTATACTCCATAAGTAGAGTACGAGTCTATGACTAGCTCCTGTAATATAACAATCCTCCTAAATATCTTTGTGTAATTTCGATCTGACTGGGGTAAAGCTGAGTTATATTTACTGGCATTTTGACGCCCACTCATGACGTGAGAAAATTTACCCATTAGCCCATCACCTTATTCACTCTAAGATCACTAAAGTTCTTATTTATGATCTAATCTCTAGACGTTTTTAGCATGTTTACCAATAGCAGAGTTCCGTATTCCGTTACTAATGAGAGCTAGACCAGATTAAATTTACAGACCACCCTGGGTGGCAGAGCTTTCTAGGAGGAAAGTAATTTAGTGCATTATGGGGTATATTTGTTTCACTGAAAATTTGACACAATTCTACATCATCTTAATCCACCTTAAGGTGGCTAAAGTTCATATTTAAAATTTACTGTTAGTCTCAAAGCCTATTCATTAATTACAATATAAGGTTTGTAGGGAGAGGTGATGTTGCCCGCAGTATGGTCAAAGGGTCGTCTTAAATTGTCGCTATGATGAGTTACGTGTTAGGCTAAGAATGGCTAGGCCTGCTGATGATAACACCTGTCTACTGTTCTACGTTTGGAATTATCACCATGGGTGTTCACATAGTTACGAAGACTAGGTCAAA